TTTTCCTTTTTTCCTCTTCACGCTTAAAGTTCTAGAGTAGTTAGCACCAATACGACCTCATTTTGTTATGTTGAACGGCCGTCTCACCCTAGATTATTTAAAAAAATTTTATAGAAGTTCTAGTACTCTAATTATTTAATTAAATTTAGAAAGTAATATTAGAAATTAATATCTTAGATTATATATCTACTAGAGTTCTATCTTAGTATAGTAAAAATAAATTATTATATTTTATAGTCTTTTTTTTTAAAGAAATATTCTCTAACTAAGTATAATTATGAAATCTATAATAAGAAGCTACTTATAATTATTTACTATTTTAAAAAATAATATTTTAAATTTAAAAGAATCCCATTCCTAATCTAGATTATTATTAATTATTATAATCTAAAATATTTTATATTAATTAAACTCTTGAACTGCTGTCAAGCCTGATAATTAAAATTCTTATTTTATTTTAATTTTAAAATTATATATTATTTTAAGTACTATAGAACCAAGTCTAATAATTTAATTAAAAGATTAAAAGATTTTTTAAAGAAAAGAGATAAAAAATTACTATATTAAAATTAAATTATATTAAAATAAGAGAATTTAAATCCTGCTTATTTACCTACCCAGACTAAAAAAAATTCTAAATCTAGAATAATTAAGATCTTAGATTTAATAAATATCAAATATTTCTAGATTTTAAATAATTATTTATCTAGACTAAGGAAGACTCTGAATCTAAAATTACTAAAAAAAATCTTAAATTTAATAAATATAAAATATTTCTAAATTTTAAATAATTATTTATATAAAAAAAATTTAAGAAAAATTTTTTTAGGAATACCCTAGTCCTGATAATCTAATTTTAGAATAATATTATTTTTAAAGATAAATAAGACTTGCTACTACTACTAGAAATCTAAAATATTTTATAAAATATATATAAAAAAAATAAATATAAAATATATTAAAAGTATTAATAATTAGTAAAAATTATTATTTAAATATTTTTTTAATCTTTTATAAGAAAAAAAAAATTATTATTTTATAAAAACTATCTCTGGATCTCTGACTATAATAAATTAAAAATTAAATTAATTTAATTAATATATAATAAATTATTTTTAGAATATCCTAGAAAGTTTTATATATATAAATTTTTAATTTAAAAATATTACTAGTCTAATCTCTACCGCTATATAAAATAATAAGTAAAGAATTATTATATTTATTACTATATTATTCTATTTTAAAAAATTAAATAAAATATTTTAAAATCTTTATTAATCCCTAAATATACCTGGTAGAATATATCTATAGATTTTATTATATATTTATTTATAAACCAGAAATATAATACTATATTAATAATTATTAATAAATTTACTAAAATAAAATATTTAATATTTTATAATTTTACTACTAATATTGCTGGAGTAGCTATAATATATATATAATATATATAAAGATTATATAATTTTCTCTATTTTATAGTCTTTAATTAAAATTTTTAATTTATGGCTAAATTCTAGAAATACTTAATCTAATATCTAGATATTATTAGTTAATTATTAATTATTTATTATCTTGAGACCGATGGCTAGATAGAATAAATAAATATTATATTAAAATAATATTTTTATACTTATATAAACTATTTATAAGATAACTAGAATATCTAATTTTTTTAATTAAGTTTACTTTGAATATTATATATTCTAATACTATTAAGATTATATTATTTTTCGCTAACTATGGCTTCTACTTATAAATAGAATTTAAACTTATATTTATTTCTAATTAATCTGCTACTAGAGATATAAAATAATTTATTATAAAAATATATATTATTATAAAATTTATAAGAGCTGAGATAGCTATAGTCCAAGCTAAATATATAAAATAAATTAATAAAAGATACTATTCTAGCTAGAGATTCTAAAAAGATTAGAAAGTCTAATTAAATATCTAATTTATTAAGATTCTATAATCTAGTAAGAAACTTGATTAAAATATTTTAAATTTATATTTAATTAAAAAAGTTATTAACTTCTATATATATTATCTAAATTTTTATTAAGTATAAAGATTTAACTAGTATTTAATATAAACTTATTTATCCCTATTAATAATAATCTATTATTAGAATAATACTAGTTCTTTTCTTTTTATATTAAGGTCAACAGACTCGAGGAGTAGAAGATTAAAGATATATTAGACTTTTTTTAAGATTACTAGAAATAAGATTATCTTTAACTAGTATATTTTATTAAATAAGTAGAATATACTAATCTTACTATTAAATTTATAAAATATTTAGAGAATACCTATTAAATTATTAAAAACTTTTATTATTATTATTTATATAAATCCTAATCTTTACTTCACAAGAGCTCAGCTTAAGTAAAAAGGAAGTATTATTATAATATAATTTTTTTAATTAAAAAAAAATATTATTAAGTTTTATTATTTAATATATAATTTTAAATATAGTTAAAAGTTATTTATTCCCTGAATCCTATCTATAATCTTGAGTTATATCTTATTTATTACTCTATATATAACTTGACTAGTAGCCAGCTTAGTATCTAGATAGAATTCTAGCTGTTATTATTACCGAATACTACTATCCTACCAGAACCCACTATCCTACTATCTCTGCCTGCCCGCACCTTGACAATATTTAATTAGTATTTTTTTTAATATTTATTAAATTTATTAAGTAGATCCTGTACTTGCTATTATAAATTTCTAATCTATAATATTACTTATAATTATTTTCTTAAGGATGTTACTTACCTAGATATTAAAATATTTTAAATATTTTTTTAAATATTAATTTATTTTTATAAACTTATTAGCTACCTGTTTAACTTGTTAGTAAAAATTTTTAAAATCTAGTTTTTATTTAATATTAATTATTTATTAGTAGATGTTATTATTCAGGGTTTAATATAAAAAATTTTCTTATTTAAATTTTTTTAATTATATCTTTCTATCTTAATTAACAGATTATTAATTTTTATTAGAAGATTATTAACTATTTAATTTCCTTATTTAAGAGTAAATAATTTATTAATAGTTTTTTTCTATTAGACTGGGTTCTCGTAGATTAATTTAAAATAATTAATTAAAATTATAGTTAAGAAGGTTAAGACTTCATAATTAATCTTTATCTATAGATTAATCTTTACTTTAATTTTTCTATTTAGAAATATGAATATGTACTAGGCCTATTTAATTAATATATTAATAAATTATTCAATCTACTTAAGACTAGCCCTAATCTTATTATCTATTGTTATATTTTATTAAATAATGATATATCATATTTCTGTACTTTAGATTATTAATTCTTTAATATATTTAATTAATTAATTAATAATATTAGTTTGAGTAATATATCTCCATAGTAACTAGAAATATCTATTAATTTATTATAATTATTATATATTATTAGTTTATTATCCAATAGATACTTCAAAGAAGGAGTGAATTTAAAACTATAATAAGCTAAGAAGCTAGGTGGACTATATAAAGTATAATAATTTATAAAAAAATTAAATTTACTAGGAAAAGAACTATCTAATCTATAGATAAATTAAGTTTTCTTATAGAGAACTTTTTTTAAAAGATTTCTTTATAATATTAGTAAACTTTTTTATTATTCTAAAGATTCCTATTTTTTCTATAGGTATTGTTAGATTAAGGTCCAGGACTAGACGGGTTGGAACGTAGATGTTCTGATTCTAGATGGCTGACAGGGCCTAGCCCTTTTCAGTATATACATGGCTTTAGTGATGGACCGGCGCAGTTCGGTTTGAATATTTTCAAACTGACTTATTAGGGTAGTTTAAAACCACACTACTAAGTAAATAATTTAGTTTAGAGATTTTTAACTGAATCTTTTGGCTTGGCAATACAGTTTTTATATTTTTAAACTGAACTATTTGCTTGGCAGTGTAGTTTTTAATACTTTTAACTGGATTATTAAAATTCGATTACTAATAAACTCCATAAGATTTATGCGTATATATATATATATATATATATATCTATTATCTTTATTGTATAATTAAAATTTAAATCTAATAGTCTAATAATATATTTTTATTAATTTTTTTAAAAATGTGTAGGTTCGAATCCCAGTTATATTTATATAAAAATCTTTTTTTATAAATATTTATCTTTATTATATAAACTTTAAGATAAATATAATAATATATTTATTATTATTTATATTTTATTGATTTATATTAAATTTTTAAAATAATTTTATTTTTAAAAATTTACTCTAACATTACTTATATATATATATATATATATAGATAGCTAATAGATAGATAGATATTCTATTTTGATTTTATTACTGTAACATGAATTTTTAATATTTTAATTTATAATTAAATTATATAATTTTTTTATATGATTTATTATCTCTATCCCCCAGGCCGCGACGATTCAATAAAAAATTAAATTTCAAAAAATAATTGAATAAATTGAATAAATTGAATAAATTGAATAAATTGAATAAATTGAATAAATTGAATAAATTGAATAAATTGAATAAATTGAATAAATTGAATAAATTGAATAAATTGAATAAATATATATAATTATATAATCAAGATTATATAATATATTAATGTTTAAAATTATGTAAACAGCGCGAATCAGTTTATCTAGTTAAATTCAATAAATTAAAAACCAAACCTCTTATCTTGGTAGTGTGGTTTTAAAACTAAACCTTTTCTTAATAGTATAGTTTTGACTAAACCATTTACTTGGTAGTGCGGTTTAAAACTAACCTATTTTGCTTGGCGGTGCGGTTTGAAAAATTTAATAAAACTGTACCAGAAACCTAATGGTTCGGGGAACCGACCCATCAAAAAACCGAACCGGGCCATCACTACATGGCTTGCCTCCTAGTACACAGCGGATTTTTGCTTATAACGTACTATGTAATTATACCCTGCTCTGGTTAAAAAAATACATCATGAAGCTCTACGAAGAATGATATGATCATTAAAAGATTGATATATGGATAATTTGTGGTATTCCTGGGAAGAGCTACCAAGACACTCCTGCTATCTTGTCCCGTCTCTTACCGGAGTCTCTTGCGACTCTCATGCGCAATCATATCACTCAAATCCTCCTGAAAATCCCAGTTCGGATGGTTCTGCTGTTGCCTCTGGGTTTCATATAACCTTTTTATATCTTCTCGATCAATGCCATCATTCGCGTGCAAGGCATCCGGATCAACAGACACATCAACGTCTCCAGGCCTCTTGCGCTTTTTGTTATGGTCATCGGAGCCGAGAACGGGCAGAGAACTCGAGGATACGCTAAGATCATACGCCCTGTCAGCCCCAAAAAATCCTTGCACTTGCGCTTGCCTCTCAGGTATGACTTGAAAGGCGCTTCTTTGGCCCACAAATTCCTCGGTTTGAGTTCCCCGATAGTGCTTCCGCACATCAAACTCACCGGCAATGTTCTCAGGACCGGTCACCTCCGATGGAACAGCCGAATCTAGACCGCTGGGAGTTTCCAATCCACTTGGGGTCTGCACGCCTGTCTCGACATCCTCATCATCCTCATCATCGCCACTCTCAGCCTCCTCCTCTTCGCTCTCCTCGTCTGACATATCTGGTGCCTGCAATTCTCCCCAAAGGTCCTTCTCGACGGGCTCGCCCTGTTGCACGGCCTGTTGGGGTTGCAGCACACCAAAGATGTCGCCACCATACAGAGGCCTGTTATGCTCATCAACAGGTGGCTTTCCATAACCGCCAGGATGGTATCCCCACATAGCGCCAGGAGGAGGAGGGGCGTTAAGACCTGGAATCTTCAGGGCAGGATAAGAAGGAGGCGGGCCGTATCGCTGTTGGTTGATCAACCAAGGAGGAGGGGCTCCAGGTGGCATATTAAGTGCTTCTTTCAACTCAGCACTAAGTTCACCTGGCCGAAGGTGTCTGAGATTGGTCTCGTATTCTTTGCCCTCATAATAGACCTCACCATATCGTGTAAGCTCCGGCTTGGTCTGAAATCGGAAAAAGGCTTCATATAGCTTTTGATAGTCGATATCCAGTCTTCCCATTTTCGGTTGAACCCTCTCTCTCTGCTTCTGTTTCAATGTTGCCTGCTCCTGCTTTTCTAAAGCAGCATCACGCATCTCCGATATTCCAGTTTCCTGGATGAATCTTGGCAAGGCAAATGGAGGTTTCTCTATGCCTCTTTTGGAAGAAAGATATTCCCGTTTGAGTGACCAATGGGTAGGCACAGGGACAACATTGCGATGAGCCTTTAAATGAACAAGAAGTCGAGGATCAGGAGCTGATGTATCCGTCCACTCGACTATTTCTGGCCTCCGAACCATTGCTTTCAGTTCAGCAACGGAAAGCTTGTTTAATTCCTTTCGTTTCCGCTTCGATAAGGAGGGTTCTTTCTCTTCCTCATCTGGTATCTCATTGTCATCATCGAAGTATATTACTGGTTTGAGTGGCTCTGTCGATGATGGTTTCCCATCCTCGGATTCGTCAAACTTTCCAACAATATCTTTGTACATCTGCCATAGTGGATCATTGAGATCTGGAGGCACAGCATTTTGTAGCTCTATAGTGACCGCCTTGGGGGCACTTGAGGATATGGTTCCATCAACTGGGTCTTGCGTGGGGGGGCTGTCGTGAGAAGTCGGCTCGATCACCTTCGTGCAACACATGGAGATTTAGCATTTTCTAGTAGATGACCTATACACGACATACCTGGGATTTTAGAGCTTTCTTTCTCGCTCTCCTTAACTGATTTTTGCCCATTTTTATGTTCGAAAAAAATCTCCCTTTTCTCTGCCGATAAGGAACAGAACCTCTCTTTATTATTAAAAGCGTACAAAATCGAGTGAGATTCAATTTAGAGATTCATGAAAATCTCCGCGGGAAGGAGAGCAGTATCATTTAACACATGTTGGCGTTGTATTGTTGCTGAGGCTGTAACTTCTGTTAAGGTCGTGATGATAACTAGGCCTACACTAGGTGCCACCCTTGATAGTCATGTGATCTGCTTAGCCACGACCCAACCAACTTACATCTTATACCTCTCATTCTTCTTTGCACCCAGCTTTAAGTTGTCATGTGGGTTGTAAAACTGCTGAAAATTGCTCCTCCCAGGTCTTCTGAACTAGGCCTTGTATTGACTGCTTACTTGACTGTCCACGGTGACCATTGCTCTCCTTTAAAGGTCCTTGATTTATTGACATTGTTCTGAAATTCCAAATACACTCCAAATTCAAATCGTACAAAGCCTGAGAGAATAAACAGAATGAGAAGAGGACAAGCACAAGAGATTACAATGGTCCAATTGCCAGGATATTGGGCCACACCGCACTATAAACCGGACAGTTCCGTGTAAGAAACCTTATACCCAACACCAGACATCTCAGTAAATCTATTTCTTCTTCTTGGCCGACCGAGATTCTATGCCTTCTATTAGCAAATCGTGGGAAGACAAAAGAGCTTGGACTGTTGAGCCTCACCTGCGGCCGTCCTTTTCTTTTTCGGTCGACCCTTCCCTCGTAATTTCGCTCTGTTTGAAGAACGTAAGTATGTGCCGAGAACATGCACCGGAAGACATACATTTGAATTGCTTCCTCGCGATCATCCTGATATTCATCAAACGTTGTTAGGCCTGAACGGCTGCACGTTTCCTGCAGATCTCTGAAGGAGACCGTCTTTCTCGGGTACCATGCTGCAAGTGCAGGGCCACGCAAGCGCTGTCGTAGGATCTTATTTCCCAATCTCAGCCTTTCGGGATTGAAATTTAGTGAAAAGATTCGACATTGCACCTGCCCGTGGTGGTTGGATTAGCTGTGCATGAGGGAAAACGATAGCCGAAGAACGGATTCGACGCAGTCAGGCTGCGCTCTGATAAATACCTTAGCAAGGTCGAGCAGTCTACTGCATGGCGCCGCCATCTTCACAAAGCGGGCTTTGGCTGAATATTGTTGTTGGTAGCGATGGCAGAGTCTCTGCTCAGATACAGGTAACCTACCGTATCACGTGATGCCACACCAATCGGTAACCTTGGATGTCAGACTCCCGCTCCATATGATTGTCTATGGCAGATCATGGGTTCGAAAAGGAAATCTGTATTCTCATTGCCTCTCGGGGATGGTCAAAAGAAGGCAAAAGTAAGCACGCACGCTTGTTTATCATGCTGTATACTGACATCAGGGAGTGTGTTAATTCCCAAGAGACGAAAGAGCTGTCACCCTCCCCGAGAAACCAGCAATGCAAAACTATTGATTTCGTTCTGCTGAGGACTCTGCTTCAGGATATCATAAAGAAAAATGTCACTCCAAAGAGCCACCTTATTGCGACAAACGCCGATGTTTTAACTGCAGCCACCGAGCTTGATGCAGCCTTGCACCGTGCAGAAAGTTCCATGTCTTCTACCCCGAGTGGCCTCAACGATACTACTCTACCGCTGCAGGCTTCCGGTGCCAGGGTGGAGTGTTCCTTACCTACACTACCACCTATCTTGGACAACATACTCGAAAGCGCAGTTTTTACTCACCCGGGCGTGAGTAACAATATTGGAGCTACTTATGACCGACTTGAGGTGCTTGGAGATGCGTATATAGAACTTATTTCTACCAAACTCATCTGGAACAGGTTCCAGGACATCCCTTCTGGTCGAATATCTCAGATCCGCGAACTTCTTGTAAAAAACGAGACTTTGTCAAATTATGCGACTATGTACGGACTCGACCGCAGGGCTTCCGTGCCGCCGGATTACCTAAAACAACCTAGAAGATGGGTCAAGACAAAGGCAGACATCTTTGAAGCTTATGTAGCTGCTGTTGTCTTGTCTGATCCAATCAATGGGTACTGCGTTGCCGAGGAATGGTTATCAAAATTGTGGTTGCCAAAGATCGAGCAATTTGGACAACAAAAGTCTTCTTTGCAAGCCAAAGAATCTCTTGCGAAAAAGATTATGGGCAAGGGAATCAAACTCAAATATGTCGACGAGCACCCCCCTGTTCAGGGAGGAAGGGGGTTGCAGACATACTTTATCGGAGTATATCTCACCGGCTGGGGTTGGGATCATAAGCATCTTGGTTCCGGCCAAGGTTCCAGCAAGGCAATTGCAGGAGATGAGGCCGCTGAGAAGGCATTACTTAATGAAAGCCTGATTGATGAGATTATGGAAGCTAAGAAAGCACATCTAGCCAAGGCACAAAAACCTCTTACTCTCTAGAGCCATATTATTGAGGCCAGCATTTATTGAATGCAAAAGCATCGATTACTTGCAGCGCTATTCTCAGATAGGAGTTTCTAACTTGGGTTCCCGAAGCTTACTTTACAACCTCAACGAGGTATTAGAGCATTGCTTTTTATGACTGGTGACTAAGATTCCATCACTATTGGGTGCTCAAAAACTGTGATTCAAGATGAAGTTTTCCGTACGGCGTACACAATTGACTCCCAGTCAGACCCAATGGACGGACTTGCACGTACTCGACACACCTGGCGTTTAGCCACCTCATTTAAATAAATTATAGAAACTGTCTTTTGTTTGATGATTTTATGCAGTTACCATATAGCTTCTTTTAATTATCATGAAAAGTCTAGAAGAGAATGAATTCTCATGACATGTCTGTCACCCAGATGATCCCTTCATGTGACTGATGTGATAGTTGAGTAAGTACCACTGGCAGCCATAGCATGTGTGTGGCAGTAACTCATAAATTTGCGATTCTCCGTGGTTTTCTATTCCTGGATCATGATTATAAATAAGTAGTTATACTTGAGTTGGCCGCTGATTGACATATATTACTATTAATCTGGGCCGTGCTTCGCGAGGCCATGGCCTTCAAGACTCCATTACTTCACTATCTTCGATACAAATAAAGCTAACAAGATGTCATGCCTTTTCATAAAAAATATTTGCAGCGTAGTCCTAATATTTACCACTTGGGACCTTTCCCCAGTCATAGAAGATTTCACCACTTGACTGATATAGAACGTACTCAAAGACATTGCAAGTCATATACAGAGTATAGTACCATTAGTTACACTACTCCATAATATGCAGCCTACTTTGCTAGCTTTATTAGGTATTGTTCAAACTGGACTTTTTCTGAGCCACAAATAAATATTCTTTATAGCCCTACTGCCCTGAAAACTTACTATGTACGGGTACTTGATAGTATGGGCTAACTTCTCGCAGTACTTATCCCTGCCCAGTGGCAGGATTCTGAAAAGGTAGGCATATTGTATGGTACCATGTTTCATGGACTCCACGTGACACTGATTATTGTTACCCGCTTCAGTTGGGGGTTGCCCTGCAGTGATACTACAGCATGTACCACTTTCAATTATCACATTCCGTCTCTCCAATCAGTTATCAGTTAACACTTGTTTAAACGGAACCAGCGGTACTGACTGTGCTATAACTTACCTGCAACACACAGACGATGGACTGGGATCGCAGTAGGAGGTTAGTTTGATCATTCACTTCATCTCGGTAGGAACTAAGACGAGGGGCGCGAATAGATTCGAAGATCACCGTGGCGGAGAGAGTTATCGTCCTAGCGGCTCTCGAGCTTATTTGCGACGCAGCAGATCCCCCCCACGAGTCCGTTCTCCCCGTCTTGTCGCAGATACATGGGTTCCATCACATAGTCGGACATATGGCCGCGTGCGTAGCCGTTCACCACTAGCCCAAAGACGACGCCTCTCACGCAGCCCTTCGTTCTATAATCGAGAGATGGGAGTAGGTGCCTATACAAAGATGTGTTCTCCACCGAGGCGGTTCTCACCTAGACGGGGCGAGTTAAGGAATCGGTCCCCTCACCAGGCCTCGTGGCGCTCAAGGTCTCCTCCCTATGGAGAAGGGCGTCAGCGCGATCATTCATGGAGTCGAAATAACCCAAAGCGACCGCGCGAACTGTCGCCGCGCGGCCAAGAGTTCAGATTCTTGAGACGAGAGCGGCCTCACCCCCCCGCAGATCTATATATGAAGCCTGATATTCCATTTCGGGATAGTGGCAGTCGACCACCACTCCCCCGCCGATCCCGAAGCCCTTTTCATGGAAGTCGCAGGGAACGCAACCCAGAACTTCACCCAACCCAAAAGCGGCGGTCACAATCCCCAAAGGGTCTATCTCCTATGCGTACATCTGTATCAGGCTCTCTACCTGATTCGAGACGCTCATCGCCTTTTACGGAGAGGCCTAATTTCATTTCATCCAACGCCCCAAGTCGGTCGCCAAGTCACCACAATCCCAACCGATGTCTCTCTAGAACTTCGGATCATTCGTCCCTACGTGAAGAGCGACCCCGCGCGATTAAGGATAAGCCCACATTCGATGAGCCAAGACCAAGATCACCAGCCTCAGAACGACCTACCGGGAAAGAACATGATACTGACAGCGTCGGACTACAGCGTCAAAATTCTGAAATTCATGAAACAGATCCTACTTCATCAAAGACAGCATATCCCCGCAATGTTCCAGTACAACCAAAGGCATACGGCAATACATCACAGGGCCAGGCACCCCCATCTGGCCCATCGCATGGCCCTAAAACAATGTCCTTGCAGAATCGTGCGTCAAATATCTCTCTATTGTCAGCTCCAACTCGGCCACGCGGTGGTCTGGGTTTCAAGGAACCATCTTGGGCAGGATCTCCAGCCCGTCGCGGACCTGCGTCGGCCGGACTCCACGGGCCCCCACCGACTGGTCCGCGCAGTAGTCTCATGTCCACAGGTCATGGCGTCGAGTTGCCCCGCTCCAGTCTCAACAGGCAAGGTAGCATTACCGGGCCTTCTTATTCCCCCCGTTTGCCGAGACATACTAGCCACCTTGCGGGCCTTCGCCAAATCATCCCTGAAGGCAAAATTCTCCCATCTAGTCTCGATATTGCTTTAGAAAAAAGACTTTCCCAGCTAGATGCAGACAAGGACAGACTTTTTGATCAAATCGCAGACAACCAGAAGCTGCGACGACTTGGAAACCAAGACTGGGATAGGCTTGATCGGGAAAGTTCTATTTGTGCACTGAAGAGTGAACTTGCAGAAGGGCATCTACAGCGTATAGCCGATGGTGAAAGCATGCAGGTTGGTGCAACGTTCTGATAGTCCAATAAAACGCCATGACTACTCCAATTACTGCGATCTCAAAAGCAGAATTAGAAGAGAAGCATAGGGGTAGAATGTCAATCCTGCCTTCTTTAGCACGCATGGACATTGATGGTCTATGCGTTCCCCAGTATTGTGGATTGGAAATTCCTGTTTTCACAGTGAATCATGAATGCAGTATCATCGAAATAGTAAACAAAATAGTAAATAATACTCCGTACTCCGTAGTGCAAAATTTGTGGAGCATGAACTATATATAGACTAGGCAAAAATTATGGAGTGTGGGATACTAGATACCTGCTCTGTATTCTGTATCTAGGTACTATCTAGATATCTAGTCTGTCTGTATAATGTATGCGGAAATCCTATCCAATGTCCATAAACCGCATGGAGTAGTAGTGCACGGCCTTACCTGATCTAGCTAGCTAAGAGTCCTAGTAGTATGGGCCCCGGGCAAGCGTTGGATAATTGGATTACCTAAAGTTTGTTGGAAATTGGAATGCTAGCACTTAGCAAGTTAGCAGCAGCAGCAGGAGCCAGGTACCATGGACCCTGTCCAATGTTAGACTGTCGGTCGCCTTGTTCGGAGTATGTATTACGGCATCACGCGTGATGTGGGGCGCACCTTGTCGCGTGTGTGCTTGAGGCTTCGTGTCAACATCTACGTATATTTCGGGACTGCCAGAGAGCGATTGCGCACAATCTCAAAGGACCTAGCTTGGCAACGCGTATTTCCATGGCAGATTCGCGCTGCTAATTTCATACACTGAGTACAAAAAGCCTTTGTTGCCTCCTAGCTTTTCTTATAAGCTGAAGCGGATTTAATCAATCGCCGTCATGAATATCTTCAGGTTGTCGGGTAAGGGTTCGCTGCGTTCACTCCAAATGGCACGCTCCGCTAATCCTGGATAAAGCCGATTTTTCTCATCTTGCATCTATATTTATCCTTTTGCATAAGATGAAATCTTCAAGTGTATGTCCCACATTTATATCCATTTTTGTTTGAAATGTCTGACTGAATTTAGAGCTGTTCAGGACTATCATTCAAGTCGCAGGCACTGTATTTAATGGTTTTTGTGACGCGTTATCTTGGTAAGCCTTAAACACCTGAGACTGTTTACAGAGGACGCACCTATCTGACTGGCTCCCATTTCAGATTTGTTCTGGGCTTTCACGGACTCCCTCTATAATACCACATTCAAGATTATGTTTATTGGCTCATCGGCTTATATCATTTACCTCATGCTTAACGACTATAAGCCAACGCATGACCCCAATACTGATACATTCAAAGTGCAGTATCTTCTTGGCTTCAGCGCTCTATTGGCTCTCCTTTTCCCACACGATTATAGCATTTCCGAGGTCAGTTGTTCAAAAAGGATAAGTATGACTGTTAAACTGACACGAGATAGATTCTCTGGACGTTCTCCATCTGGCTCGAATCCGTCGCTATCTTGCCCCAGCTTTTCATGCTGCAGCGCACCGGGGAGGCGGACACTATTACGACACATTATTTATTTGCACTGGGGCTATACCGAGCCCTCTATATTCCCAACTGGATCTATCGGTATCTTGCGGAGCGTCATTTCCAACCAATCCCGGTCATAGCGGGCATAGTGCAAACTTTATTGTATTCCGATTTCTTTTATATCTACTACACAAAGTGAGTGCTAACAGATTCACTTAACTCTTGCTCAGGGAACTGATTTGTTATACAGGGTTATGAAGGGGAAGAAGTTCTCGCTGCCTGTCTAAATTCGGGATTAATGCTGAATGAACCGGTCATTAAATGGAGTTGTGTATCTGAGGAGACTGATAATTGGTTTAGTTGTGTGAATTATCATGTGTCTCAAATTCTCACGAAATGCCACTGCTGTCCAGCAACAAATGTTCTTGTCGTCTCAACCAACATTTCCAGACAACTGAAACAGATATCTGGAGGATCCAATATTATGCCGGTGCAACTATTCGGAAGGAAACACAGACGTTGATCGTTCCCAACAATCATACTCCCGAAGTCTATATTAGTGTGATGCCCGCCATGCTCAAAAGACGGAGCAATGTCGAGCCTCGACCTGGATGCGTAACATTGTCGGATTTAGGTTCAATTGGGACATTCAATGGCAAATAAGACAACATCAGACAACGCCAGGAAAACTTGAACTGCAGTATGAATCCTTCGTGCATGTGGTGATGACCATGAGACAGTCGAACCAGACCATCCTACTACCCCCACCCCCCCGTATCAAAAGCTTTAACAAGCGGGCTGTATTGTGTTCTTAATAATAAACAGGCATTGGGAGATCCCCATAACTAGAAATCCCTATGGCTGGACGGCCCGTGCGTGGAATGATAACCCGCATTGTAGCTAACCTGAGATGATGCTACCGGCATATCGCTGTGGAAAGTATCCAGAGTACCTGAGAGGGTACTTGGCAGGTGCCCCATTGTTCCTCCATTGAAAGGCCGTACCTGGGCTGGGTTCATTGCTTGCCTTTCCTGCAGGCTTCGTTGGTTTTCCAACCAAGTGTTATGGCTGCTGAGTTGAGTAAAGTAGTCTGATTGCGGCCTTTCTAGCGAAAGCTGTCCATTCAGCGTGGAGTCGCGTCTTGACATGGGTGGCGATGGCAGCTTTGGTGAACGGGACATTACCTCTAGCCGGGGTGAGCTTCTTCTTGAACTAGGAGGCGTCAAGCGCGAATGCCCTCGACGAACTTGGCAAGTCGGGCATATCTTGACAAAGCGTGAAATAAGTTCTTTTGGAACCCTTCATACCGGTTAACAGGGTTCAACAAGGTGAGCAGAGACTCAATGAGCCTGAGGAGAAAGAGGACACTCATCAGAGGTGATGCCGTTAAACCAAGTACGCTAGGGTTGTAGAATGAGCTGGGGATATGCGGCCTTACCATGAATAGATTTGTCGAACTTGAGCCGAGGTCTTGTCTCTGCCTCCATGTTGGCATTGTTGGTGTGCCCGAGTGAGGATCTTAAAGAGTTTCTCTCGGATCGCCACTGGTTTGCCCTCGTGGCATATCATCTTTGTGCACTTGAGACCATGCTCAGATTAGTACCCAAGGCTTATGAATAGGTGAGGTTATAGACGAACATCTGATGTACCAGTACCAACTGTTTGAAGCTTGAACATTTTCTTCACCCAGAATCTAGTAAGGAAAAGAGTTAGCTTACTTGATTCCGTGAAGTATAGCTTATTGAACTGTACTTAGATTAATGGCATGCATACCGAAATTGGGCTGACTCCACAGCCGTATCTTTAGGGTCCATCAACACAGTCTTGATGTTCCTAGCTCTTTTGGCGTGAATCAAAGCTTTGTCTTGCTTCTTGACGGAAAGGTCGTCGACGTAGCTGCAAAGCCGAGTCATTTAAGCATATAGGTAGCGTGGCTTCAGCATGAGCACGTCTTACCTTTTCATCAACTGGTCGAATTCTCGTACGTTCGGAAAGCCATCCAGTGGGGGGATGACTGCTTCTGATAACATTGTGTTCTCATTCTGAGAGTCCTGACTTTCAATATCTGCCTCACTGAATGCATCACGAAGTGGCAGAAACCCTGAGGACTGAAGGTAGCGTGACTGAGGCAGATACTGGACAGAATGATGTTGAAGGGGTACATGGTCAGGTGTTGAGGGAACTGAAAGCCCTGGTGAATGATGTGGGGATAAATGATGCGTGCTGGAGGAGATACCAGAATGGCTGTATGGCGAAGCAAAATGCGATGGATAGGTATTGAATGAATGTTGATGGAAAGCATACGATCCAGAATCATTTACACCAAACTCATGACTGTCCCCATGACTGTAAGGGACAGGTAGAGCTATCTGGTGGTTCATGATGTAGCTGTCTGGGCCTTCATGGGTGCGTCTTGTATAGCCACTCATATTGAAGAGGACTGCTGAAAAGCCAAGAGAAGCTTCTAGCACTTATGGATTAAAGAGTGGGCTTAGAAAAACTCTCGGCAAGGGCCTATTTGATGAAGCACCTTATAGAGTAGTCGGAAGCTCTTTTCCTGCGTTCGCTATTCTTCGCAACCGTACCGCGTTAAAGATAAGCGCAATTAGGTAGCAGCCGTTATGCTCCAAGTTAGGGTTCGGGGCAATGAGTAGGAGAGATCACGACAAAGAAAAAAAAGTTGTCAAGAAGTCCTATAGAATGGATTCGACCTCTTCTGACTTGATGACAGTGAGAAAGTAGGGCCAGAATGTCAAGCGAAAAGAGGGTACAGGCACAGTTAAAAGAGCAAAGCAGTAAGAGCTATGACCCAGAACCTCCAAGAAGCCTCAGTATGGTCAGTATAGTATGTGCTGGTACAATATGCGCAAGACCAAGTCATGGTAATAGGCAAGGATGCAAAATCAACCATCTTGCAATCTTGCAGCGAATAAATAAAATCTACCAGAGAATCCCTGGACAGTGTACAAATTGCTTCTTTCTCCCAGCATGAGCGCGCTGCATACACATCGGCCAGGATAGAGGAAGCGAGCGGCAAAATAAAAAAGATATGTAAGGGAGCATGGAAGGAATAGGACTGAGTATTGGAGACTCGTCGGCAAGATCCCTTACAAATTTGAAAAAAAAGCAACGCAAAAGAAAGAAAAAGAAGCAAAGGAAACGACAGTCTGCAGTGGGTAAGAACCTGTGGAACCGACAGGGATCAAGCATCATAACACGAAGATGAGGGGTTTGGGGGGGGGGGAACGATGAAAAAAGGAGGACTCGGGAAACAGGCCCGAAAAAAAGAAAAAGTAGAAGAAAGCAGGAGACAGAAGACAGCTGAAAATAAGCCGGGATTGCAGGCGACTCAAAAGAGCAGAAATAATGACAGCAACCATCCGTCAGCCAGTCGAGAACTGGCACCTTTCGAGTCTACTGTTTGGCATGCTGAACTGACTAGCCTCTGCGTCAGACAAGGCGTCTGTTTCATGTCAGCAAAAAAACAATAATAAAAAATAAACGCATCCACTGGCGGGGGAGGGTCATCTTATTAGGGACATATGAGAAATCTCATCCGGGTGAAAGACACCGTCGTCTTTCACTGGTTTCTCCACGCAAGGCTGAGAGTTGATGAGCTGCCGTATGGTGAGGGCAAGGCGCTTTCCAGACTCCATCATATCACAGCCAATGAAGAGTGTTTATACGGCTCTTGCAGTATGCAAGTCCCACCTGTAGCACCGAAATGGAGCTGGAAACAAGCGGAGGCTTGATGCCGTGTCTGGCTAGTAGAGGACAAAAAACTGATGGTCTCGTGTCTTGATGCCACATCTCGTGTGCATACTCGACTAAGGTAATGTTTAGATACCCTTACAGAGATAATGCTGATGTCCGGAAGTAGAACAACCCGGGGGTAGTAGTGAGACTACCTATGAGCCTAAGTAAGTAGCTTTGCTGGCTCTGGTGAGAATCAATGGAGATTCCGCCTTTCTAGGTTATTGGCCGCCCTTCGGATACGGCTCTGAATTGTCGCGACGATGGAATGACGGCGTCATCAATAACATCATCGACTTTATTGCTACTTCCGTGTTATTCCACAGGCGACACCTGGCGCTTCAGGGTCCCATGCTTTTTCTTTTCGCGGCTTTTTTTCGAGGTCGAAAGACAGCCAAGTACAGAGTATGTAGGTACTTAGGCGAGTGTCTACCTACCCCTTGTCAGTGCATTAATGTACGTATGAGTTGGCGTCTCTGTTCAACACCGCCGGGATCTTTCTGAAACATACACGCTTAAAAAGCGATACCTAGTGTCGGGCCTTAGTGAGCTAAGCATGGATCTGTATAACTATCTGGGTGCCGCGCCCCTTCACATCTCTCAAACATGAATCGCTTCCAGGGAGCTCTGTGCGGAAGAAAATGGTAGAAGACGAACAAAAAGAAAAAGAAGAAAGATAGAACGGAAGAAAGGAAGACAGAAATAAGAAGAGGAAGACACAGGGAAAAAGATCCCAGCGTCCCAGAAGAAATTGAGGCGACAGATACCTATCGCACTTATTGTAGGAATGTAGATGGTAGTAAGGCCCTACTGGAGAGATGCCTGTAGGAGATCACACTGATGTAGATTGTCTAGCATATCCAGGCGCTCATAGTGGTGGTATCTAGGTAGGTACCTGACTATCTACTCCGTATGTACGGAGTACATTGACCTGCTAGGGAGCTCCACCTATCTTCAGGTTCAATCAGTCACTATACCTAATGAGGTCAGTCGAGTGTATTGGACCCGTACTCCGTACAGTGTATCTAATAGTAGATACAGGGTACGGACATCGGCGCTCGATCTACATCGGCGGCAGTGGTGGTAGGCAGGCGTGGCCAGGTACCCCTGACACCGGCTGGAAATTCTCCTAAGGTCCTGTAGCTGTACTATTATTCGTCTGCCTTCTTTCCCATGCAAGCACCCGGGGTCGGCTGCATGGAATCCTGCCTTCATCCAGTTTGACATATTTCTCTGTGCAACCATTACGATGAATGATATGTTGTGTGTGATTAGTCCTGCTTTCTTGGGTGCCTTTGGGAAATTACGCTTGTTTTTCTTTGCTGGTATTCACCTAGCTCCTGTAGTTCCTGCAACTTTGGTACAGTACCTACCTACTGGGAATGTATGTGATAGTACGGAGTAAGCTCTCCTCCATTGTTGGCCTCTTTTTCTTTCTTCCTATCTTGTCTTTATCCGGATATCTGCCTTCCGCCCTACCCTAGCTACACTTTGTCTTACGGGTTGCTCAACCATGCAGGGGTTACCCTGAAAATTGCATTCTTGGAGCTTAGGGTTAGTCCGTCGAAGGCAACTCTGCCTTGCTAGGATCTGGAGCTAGCCCCATGTACATGCAGTAATAGGTAGTGATACTTCGGTTCGAGGGACTCAGTGACTGACAGCTGCCAAGCTAAGTTGCCTGTATGCTTACTACTGTTCGACAACCCTGGCCTTTCGGGGGGTTCAAGGGTATGGATATGCTGTGTAGGTGTTGGGAGGTGGGGGAACTCTAGACCACTACATGGACTTGACTATATCCTTGTAAGATTCATGGTTGGTTTCAGGTGAAGAGGCATGGTAGTTCTTGTGCATAGTTCTGGCTCTTCCTGCCAACCACTCCGTATTAAATTATTTCCTCTTCTTTCATCGCCGCATGGTAATCCCATTTATTCCATATTCGTGTTTCTGACAGATGATTTGGAGAAGGCATTGCACTGATTTTAACTGATTTTAATCTTATTGAGTTGGTCGTACCCGATAGTTATTCTTGGTATCATATAGATACAGTTCGGAGGTAGAATTCCTTGACCAAACCCCCGGATGATACTATTGTGTTTATTGCTATACTTTCACTCATCCTCATTGCTTTTTCACATGTCGCTACCGTTTGTTGCTTATGAACACCTACTTAGACCCGTGGCCTGTACAATTAAATCAGTTTCAAGGTCCAAAATGGCACATAAATTTCCTTGTTTGCCCCCTATACGCAGGCAATGAATCATGGTCTTCCTTGCTGACCCGCAAGTACCTAGATCTACTAAATTCACCCCGAATGGAGCCTCCTTTCAACAGACAAAAACCTAAACCTGCATGGATAGTGAGTATTCTTATATGCCCTGGTGCCTGCAGGTTGTCTCAATCCGGTTGAAACATAGAGAGCTCCCTTTCTTATAAATGCCATAACCTTATTTCTGTAACTTCGAGCAAAATTTGCGGACAAAGCGTCAATCAATGAAAAGCCATGCGTGAGATAACACATCCAAGTTGAAGTAAAGAAGTCAGACTACAGTGTATGGTTTGTATACCGAGACACTATTGAGGAGGTCTATACACTATACGGTAAAACTGGTAGCTTCTGGCGTGTTGTCGTTGATTTGAACCGCTTGAATCAGCTCGCTACCCTGGTGCAATCAGACGATGTTGACAGGGTCCACGTATTACCTTGTGGCTTTGCGCATCTCGGAATCATTATATTATGCGACCAGAGATAGAGAGTATATAGCTGGAAGAGGCCTGGAGGTAGTCTCTCTGCAGAGATGTGCCTTGGAATTTACTAGGCCTGTCCAACCTAAGCAGGCATGTGGTTGGCCCAGCCGACCGAAGGCTTGGATATCTTGCCATTTGACATGGGTGACTGCTGGATGGTCCGTCTACTTGAAGGCTTGTCCGAAAAGAGTCATTACCGTTTTAACCGAGTCTAATGGTGTGGTAATAACCGTTTCAGGCGGTATTTAGGAACACTGCTGTAATGGCAGGTATATCAGGACCCAGCTTGTATACTGTACCGTTGGTGCTCGGAGCCTGGCTCCTATATACAGCCATCAGGGCCCAGGAGGAATGCCATTTTCCAACCTCAAGATACTAGGAAATCGGTTCAAGCAAATACACGAAAGAGTATTCTAGCAGTAAACCAGCCTTCTTGCTTTCGACGAATGCCTCATTCCAGCCCTAACATGCCAAGCAAAGAGCTGTTATCGGAGCAACCTATTTGGGTGGGTGCTATTGAACCATAGTTCTAAGGCTGATCATAACTGCCAATGGTTTGGCCGTATTTGTGCCCTTGAAAGTAAAAAGCTCATACACCCCTTACCTATGAACGGGGGACGTACTAGCGTGGCTTAGCTATTCGACAGCTGATACGGTTTATTCGGGCGCAAACCCTCCCCTTATATGGGGTGTCGGACATGCATATTGTTTGCAAGTTGAATAAGCTTGCAATTGGGGTGAAATGAGCAAGACTTCATTGAGCTCTCCAACACACATAATCAATATAAACTTCTTGAGGACCTCCTGTATCGCACAATTTGGTTCTTTGCAACAGATACAGAATAGAAAAAAAAGGAAAGAATGATCCAAGTATTATACATCCCAGAGTCATATGTCCATTAACGGCGTAAAAGCAAGTAATATACATCAGCCAATTCATAAAAAGAAAAGCAAACCGCTCCTTTAAATCATGGTCTCGTGGATAAACAGCAACAGCCTAACCGAATAAAGGCGGGAGCAGCTGCTGTCAGTTTTCATAATCATCAAAGTTCTTATTTCTCGCCACCATTTGCCATTGACATCTGGCAGCAGGTTTCCAAGGTCGAAGTGTATAGACCAATAGGGGATGCTTTAGTGCAACAAAATCGACTCTCTCACTTTGCTTCTTTCACTCCCTCATTTGGGAAGTGCCATTCGCAATTGAATCATGCGCGGTCGAGATTCTGTGTCCTGAGAGTGCTATTGAATCTCACCAGGTCTCGGATGGCCCACCTCCAGCCGTCTCCGAATTTCCCACGATCCTGAGTGGTCCATTTATCGACCTTGCGCCTCCACTTTTCTTCTTCTGCACGCTGGCGCCTGATAAACTCCGGACCAACATCGAATTCTTCCGTTATGGGCCATTCGTCTGATGAATCTTCGTAGCTGCGGTCATCACTACTGGCTGCAAAACCGAGCTCATCGTAGGCACCTGACATTCGTCCATTCAAGATATTAGTCGTCTCCTTTAGGTCACCAAGGCCAGCAAAAACATCGTCTTCATCCTGAATAGCCACAAGTCCATCCTTTTCGGGTTGCAATGGTGCTAGCTTGAGCCAGCACATGCGTTTCGGATCAAAGACCATCCCACCAACAACCTGTACGTTTTGCATTGCACCTATGTTAGTGATCAGAGCCGGGGTTGGCTTTGGTGACTTCGGCGATATTGAGCTAAAGTCCTGCACCAGGTTCTCATTCCCTTCCCAGCAAAAAGAGTTTGGGTTGTAGCGCATGCCGTTAAGGACTAAGGATGTCAGTACTCTCCGAAATTTCGTGAAGAAGCTTAACTTACATTTTGGTTCTTGCACTCCTGTACCCATGGGCTTGATCAGTTGGGGTTTGCATCCAAGCACTGAAGTAGCTCTGTGTTTCTTGCTCCGGATAGTTGCCGAGCTAGAAGGTACCCGCGAGACACTTGTAGGTTTCCAATTTAACCCCAGAGGAGCAAGCGGGTGATGATCCCGACTTTTCGGGGTACTTGTCATTGAAGCAATGCGTTGTTCTCTTGCGTTCCTTGAGGCATTCGTGTCCCGGGCGAATCTCGGCGTGACAGTATTAAATTTCATTGTAGAACCCGGCGTGGTTTGTTCGCTTGTACCATCTAGTTTTGCCGAACTAGACTGACCGTGGCTCAGTTTACTCCTGAGTGTTCTCGGAACACCTCGTCCCGAGGGATGTTTCACAAATTTTTTCTCTGCTGAGGAGGATGTAGGCAGATCGTCAAAGAGCGCCAATTCAGAACCGTCACCGAAATTCCGCCGCCGGGTGGGCCGAGTGAGTGTTCTTTTACTTGCAGCAACCAAGTTCTCTGGACTTGAATCATTCGGACCTTTACCCATTGAATCATGGCGAGTAGATCTTGACAGTCGAGTTCCAGACCCCTGGATGTTTAACAAGTCGCTAGGGCCATCTGAATTTGAGCGACGATTGTGTCGATGGCTTTTGACACTAGCATGGTGCGATTGCTTTTCTGAAGCACCGGCTGGAATGAAAGGAGCTTGATGCTTACGGACAAACGTTTTCGCGTCATTTCCAATGCGGTCAACTGGGGTCTTAGGTCTGGCGTGGTAATTAGGTATGCCTGGCCCATCTTGAGGTATGGGCGGGCTCTGATTGATTGAGACGGCCTGGTTCATATTTCGTAAGGATGGCATTGAACGCTTAGTCCTTAGTAGTTGCCTTCCTGAAGATACACGTTCGCCAACAAAGGCGTCATTTGATATGCCGGGCCCCACAGGTCGTCGACTAGGAGTTAAGGGGATCTGTGATGATGACGAAAACCCAGAAGGGAGGCTGGACACGGATGACTGTGATGAATGACCGCCGGCCCGGCGCTGCGAGGTCCGAAACCTCGACAGAGGAGCACCACTCTCTGACACGGTTTCAAGATGTGTCGAATGGGGGCGGTCGTGACCGGAAAGACGTGGGATTCGAGTCTTTGGGGAAACTGCCGTGTTCATAAATGTGATGGTAGTTGTTGAGTGCCGTGCAGGACTTTTTGGAATCTCCGTTTTACACTTGACGTTCGGATTTATCGATAGCCTGCGAGGATCAAACACCTCGCCGCCTTCGATTTCAAGCTCCGAGAAGAAGTCATCTGTGCCGGGAGGCGCTCGATCAACCGAGGCCACTTCTAATTGTATAATGTCCTTACTGGGCGGTACTTTTCGCTTCTTCAAGGATTCTTCCAAGTCGAGGGGCCCTTCTGGAATGATGAGACCATCAAGGCCTTCATCTTCGCTTTCAATAGTTAGACAACTAGAGGTAGTCGGGCTGACAACGGAAACCGACGAGCTTGGATTTGATATGTGATCCCTCGCAGTGCCACCGAATCGGACCCCGATACTGCCTTCTGACCAGTCAACGTCGAAGTCCTCAAGGGATGGACTTGCATTTCCCACATTGGCCTTTCGAGGAGAGAGCCGGAGCAAAACTTCATCAGCTGGTAATTCAAAATCCTCTTCAAAATTGTCAGTCGAATCCAGGTCCCTGTCAGGAATAAAACTATTGATAAGTGATGCTCTCTCTGGTGACCGAGACCTCGCAACCCTAATTGTGGGGACATCGTGACTGTCAGAAACTCCGCTACCTTGTTGTGAAGTGGATGCAATTGCAAGGGCTGAATGCAGTGGAGTCGAGACCTCGCTGTCCCACAAGGATGCAGCTGATGTTTTTATAGGGCTTACGGCAGCACTACTGACTTGTCGGAGTGCTCCAGGGAAAGATGTATCGAGCGAACGCTTTAACTCTAGCGTGCTATCAGGCCCGGGGAATTCGACGTCGTCCGACCAGTCATCGATGATGTCCTTCCCCTGCTTTCGATGCCCGAGACGCTTAATGGTCCCCCCAATAAGAGCCGACCGGGGAATGTTAGCAGGCAAAGGTATTCCAGCGTTCTTGGCGGAAGCAATCGCTTCTTCAGTGACAATCTCGTCGCTGTCTAACAACTGAACTTGCCAATCCTCGTCCCCCCCGGTATTAGAATCAAGATCGGAACGTGCGGAGCGACGCGAGGAAATTGAATCCCGATGCCCAGACCGACGAATTGACGAATTCGTTACAGATGTAGCAGTCGATGCGGCTCTTAACTGAAAATCTTCGTAGCATTGCAAGTCATCGTCATCATCCCAGCACTCGATCGTTTCTTCTTCGCTGTGGCGAACCTCGAGGGTCAACGGAGCCATGTTCTCATGTCAAATGGACATATGCTGACATAGGAAGTCAAGGTTCTTGAAACCTCTAGGTGGCAGACTCGGAGCACACGAGTGCTGGAATCAAGCTGGCAAGGGGGAAGAAAGTCATTCCGTGCTGGCGCAGAGACAGGTCAGATTGATCAGACGTCAGTTAGCCCAGTCGGATAGAGGACATGTGATCTGTGACGAAAATAAACCAAGACCAACACAGTCAGAAGGGTGAGCGAAAGTCCGAAAGGCGATCCAAAAAAAAAGGGAAGGGAAGAGGGGGAAGCTGGACTGTGATGTCGCAGTCTAGATGGGCGGGAAGATCCCCTATGCCGAGGTCGAGCAGGCAGAGTCGCAGATAACGCTAGAGGCAAACGGACTGCGGGCAGAGCTGTGAACGCGAAGCTGACGATACTCAGGTGTCGTTCGAGTATCGGCGCGTGGTGCGAGGGAGAAGGGGGAAGAGAGGGGGGGAGAGGAGGAGG